CTTTCGTGTGGTCGTTGGGTGTCGCTTGCACAGAAAGAAAGGAGGAGGAACGAGAGAGAAGGAGAAGGAGAGGGAGAGAGAAGCGTCGAAACGACGGACGCGTTAATTAACGCGAGCCTGACGGCGCGAGAAACGATTACCTCGTTATTTCCGAGCGAAAGAGGCGCAGCCCCGTGGAGCAAGAGGAGAAGGGGTGAACGCGAGGAGTCACTTTCGCAGGAAATTAAGCATCGCTCGCGCGCTCTAACGAATTAAGGATGCTTTACGATCAGCGCTGTCCGTGGAACGGGGTCTCGCGGCTGCCGCAAAGTCGGCTTGCACCAGTCTCCCACGAGACGGCCGCGAACCACCCGAAATTAAAACAATAATTTACGCTCGTTTGCTTTTTACCTCGCGATCAACCCTTTTACTCTTTTTCTTTTTCTCGAGCAACCGATAGAAATTCTCTCTCTCTCTCTCTCTCTCTCTCCGCTCTCGCCTTGGTTATGCTCGATCATGTCGAACGAATCCCGCGAGAATGACGGGTGAAACCGCCGCGCCATTCCATTTAAATAAAATTTCGAAGAAGGAAAGAAGAGGAAAGAAAGGAGAAAGGACGTAATGGCCGCTCGCTCCTAGACGAGCAGCGTCTAAACGTCGACCGAGAAATCGCCAAAGGGGACGACGGAGAAACTGCAGAACCAGAGTGCGGTAGCCGGAGAGAGAGTTAGAGGGGACGTCTCGACGAAATTGCTCTTAACAATCTTCGATTTTCTCGTTAGTCCAAGTCGTTCTTGGAAGCGACGTACGTCGCGTTGTCGCATTTGCCGTTCCCGTTTCTCCGCCCTTTGGATCGTTTCGGAAGAGTCGCCCCGACTGAATTCCCGTAGGCCGAAACATTTCCATCGCGTCGACCTGCCAGGCAGGAAGATCGGGACAGGCGTCGCGTCGCGTCACCGCGAAGAGCAAAGTTTCGGCTCGCGTCGGCTTAAAAACTTGAAATTGTCGCGGAATTTCGATCCTCGACGCTCTATTCTCTCGTTCCCCCCCTTTCCGTACCTAATTTCCTTTGTCTTGGACCCATTCAGCGGTACGGCGTAGCACGGGGAACAGAATAATTCACTACACGAACGGTTGAAGATGGTGTCGTGAGAGGGGTGGGGGTGTGATCGAAACGAAGCAGAGTTTACTTTATGTTTCAGTGAAGGGATACGCGAGCGTCGCGACGCCTTCCATGTGTCTAACAGTGGCGAGCGCGCTACTCGTACGACTACTGGCGACAGTTTAGAGCCGAGCGGAGACGGCGCGCGGCCGGCCGCGCTCTTATCCACGGGAATCGGTGCAATACCACTCGAAGAGTTCTCCACTGGAGGGAAAGGATTGGACAACTATCGATCGGGGAAAGAAGACGGAAGGAGAAATCGATGATTCTCGGCGGGAACGAGGAAATCGATGGGCGCGAACGAGTATAGTAGGTGGGATCCATGGCGGGATTTCGGGCGGACCGAAATAGCAGGGGACGGAATTGTGATTCGCGCGCGCGTGTCGCGAATCGCGATGAGCGCGCACGGGGCTGGGTGGACGACACGCGACTCAAAAACACAATTTACGAGGCTATGTAAGCCGATTAATTTGTACGATACGACGTGCACTGGCTAGTGTAAATGTTTGTCGAAAACGCGTAGAGAATCGCCGAGCGATATTCTTCTCGCGGACACACAGCCACGCGACGCGTCGCGTCGATGGGAAATGGATCCAGAATAGCAGGAGCGGAGAGAGCGAGAAGAAGAGAGTCGGTGATGGCGAGCGGGTGCCGTGACCGAGCGAAGCGTCTCGACGCTCCACCCCGCGCATATCCGTGTTTCTCTCGCATGACGCGCACTCGCGTAGCACGCAACGATACCTACGTGTACACCCGTTATACGGCTTCGAAGCTTCTACTCCCGTTGTACTCCCGAAAGGACGCCGGACTCGCGCGGCTCACGCTCGCGATCACGACCCAATAATCGGTCTGTCGGTCGGTGGATCGAGGGTAAAAGGAAACAAAAATAAGAGCCAAGAGGATTTCCCTGCTTATGGAAGAGCTCTCTCGACGTGTCTGTATCTGTATGTATACTTTGTACATAGCTGCGACTTCATCTGCTGTATCTACACGTACCTTGTCGAACAATTTAGAGAGAAGAAACGAAACGGTTGAATCGCGCTCGAGGCGAGCAACTTTATCGTGCTTTCCGTAGAACGTAGGCAACGATCGGTGGCGTCTCCGAATTACTCGGTACGGGTTGAGGTCTTGCAAGGAAGAGAAGGAGAGATAGCAGGCAAAGAGAAAGAGAAGGACGAATATATATATATATATATATTTCGCATATTTAGTAAATAAATCGTATTTCATTACAAGGAGCGATTCTCTCGACCCCGATTTCCCTCCAGTAGTATCTCTTGCTCTTCCTCCTTCGTGCAACTCTCCCTCTACATACATATACCTACCTACGTTCCCTCTGGCTGCGAGCACACGGCCCATTATCCGCTTCCATTTACGTGTACGAAACAGACGAGCGCGATTGGAAGATCTCTGGGTTCCGGGGGCGGCGTGGTTGCTCGATCGGCTTTCGCCGTTGGACGTGGAGGATCCTCTCGGTGTTGCCGGCGGTCGAGAAAGAATTAATGGTCGTTCGTGCCACGGGACAATACGGACGGTACGGAGCAGGACCAAGGGGCGCCCCTTAACTCGATACCAGGGAAATTCTCGAGAGGATAAACGGTCGGTAGACGCGGACCGAGTCTCTCCCGGAAGACGATCGATGCTAATGGCCCATGCCAGACCAGACGGCCCAGACCTTTGAATATGTATCGATGCGTACTCCCTTCGCCTTCGCCTTTGCCTTCGCCTTTACCTTCGTCTTTTGCATTTCGCCCTTTACCTTTCCCACCAACTGGTCCATGCGATGACCAAAGTACCACAAGTAAGTTCCTCCCTTAATGGGACAATAAATAAACGAATTTCATCGTGTACGAGTTTTGTTACTTTCACCTAAATACTCAAGAACCTACCGTTCCTCTCTCCACACGAGAAAAAAATCTAGAGAGAAAGAGAGACTCTTGTTCTCGATAGACATAGCGGAGCATTGAATCTGATGGAACAATTAGTCGTGGCGCCGCGTCGAATTCGGTCGATTTGTAAGAGGACGAGTGTGTTGGACGGTTGTCCAACCGACGAAACGAGAGACAGGTTTGGCATGGAGGATAGGATGGGAATCGATGCGGGATAATTATAACCGTGTCATTCGTCTTGTTTCGTTCGTCCTCTTTCTTTCTCTATCGCGAATGGCGAACAATCGATACGTACTACTCTCCTCCCTGGTGTTACAAGGTTTCGGCTGGTGAAACGAGGTCGGGATATCTTTTTAAAATATCATCCTGACCCAACCCTATTCGAACATCTCTCCGAGGGGAAGAAATCTGGAAGAGAGACGATCGACGTGGTCCGTTCTCTCGGAAGGGGCCAGAGAGCTTTATTAAAATTATTATAATAGCAGATCCGCGCGAATGCGCGGCGTCCTAATAAATTCTTCGTTTCGATCGAAATTGAATTTCGAGTTGATCGATATTCCGGTCGCGGTGTCCCGTCTCGCCGCCTCTTTAATTAACTTCTTCGCCGGGAGGAGATTCTCTTCTCTTCTTTTCTTTTGTTCGCACCCCTCGCGTTTCCGCGCTGTCCTTCTTCTGTGCCGACATAAATCTCAATTATTCCTTCCACCGTGTCTCTACCCCCGGTTTTTAGCTGGAAAAATGTCAGACATTCGGGGACCGAAAGTAACGGGGAGGTAGGTAGGTAGGTAGGTAGGTAGGTAGGTAGGTGAAAATCATCGATACCGATAAAAGTTTCGTACGGTTGCTGCGGCCTCCCGGCGATCGTTCATCGTCGTTCCGTAATTTTCTTTCGTTTCTCGCTGCATCCTGAATTATAAAATGTCGAACGGCCCAGCCAGTGGCGCACCTGCTGCTCGCGAAAAACGGATCGATCGGATCTCTCTCCACGGCTACGATACCTTTCAGCTGTCACGATTACGAAAGCGAGAGCCTCGTCTCTAATTACAGTAGAAAAGTTTCGTCGCTTTTCCAGCTTCCGCGAGCACCGGTGTGACAAAGTTGCCGGAGTCGCCTGTCTACGGGAGTGTTTAAAGATAAAGAAGTAAGGCGGTAAGTGGTTGATCGTAGTAATACATCGGTAAATACTTGTCTCGTTGAAGATTAGAACCAACGACGAGTAGAATCCAAGTAATAGTAGTCTTTCCTTTCTCAAAAGGCACTCGATATTATTCCGGCGTGATAAAAGTGAAACTGCTGTGTTATTATAAAGTTATATAAAATTCGAGGGTACAGAGATAGAGGGAAGCTTTTTTCGACGGCCCGTTACGCCGTTAATTTTTCAATAAATCCCACGTAACGACGCTTGTTCGCATGCTTAAATATATCTGCACGATTAATAGTTTCTCGGTCCCAAAAAAACATCTCCGATACTCGGTGACGAAAATTATAAATATGCCTGCACTGTGAAAAATAGACGTAAGAGATTCTCAGTGAACGAACGAAAGCGTTTAATTTTAATTCGACTCTCTTAAATTGTATCTGGTACGTCTAATCGTGGCTTTACGACCGAGCTAGAATTGACGAATCAGAATCAATTGAAATAGAATTTCCATAGAAATGTCGCGGAGCCCGTTCCTTACGGGTTCGAGAAAGTTTCGGAGCAGTGCAATTTAAAGTACAAGATAATTAGCGTACAGCGAGGAGAACTTTGTCCGGAAGGTACACACCGATGGAGCTGCGTGAGAGTAGTAGCGAGCCGCAATGCGACTAAACTAGATTTTATTTCTAGTAATGCGATTTTCCAAAGTGTCTTTTTTTTCTTTTTATAAAAGGTCCTCTCTCGCACCGTTTACCGCCCGCGGACCGCTGTTAACGTTCAGCATTTTCTGTTGCAGAAGCAGGGTGGAAAGGGAACGCAACGCCACCGGAAGACAACGGACGCGAATACCAATGGACAATAGACGGCACGCGACGCACAAACACGCGACAGTGACCACTTTGCGATTGCAGAAAATAATAGAGATTAATTCCCTTTAGTTTGAAGTTTTATCGCGCGCGACTGTTTCAGGTGGGTAATCTAACATGGAATTAGGTCAATTTATAATATTGTACTCTGCGCGACGCCTGTAATTTATTATTCTAATTATAACGTAAGCCGAGCAAAAATGAAATTTATTAGCGTTGATAATTTTATACGATCTTTACACATTTACGATTTCTAGAACGATATCGCCTGCCTGCCCAACGATAAACGCTGCTGGTGAAATATTTGTACGCTTAAGAATGGAATATGATTTAATTATCGTACAACCGAGGAAGCTACGTTTAATTAGTACATCACACGAGTGAAACGTCCACTATGTATCTGGCTTGCAGTGCAGGCTTGCAAATACGTTAAACTTTTTCAGAGAAGCAGTTGTTTCTTCAGCAAATAAAACGGCAAGTTACGAGACCGTGCAGTTTCAATTAGAAGGCAATTAAGATATAACGAGAGGAAATTTACACGCCGCGTCAGATTTATTTTCAATTAAAAGACTTGGAAATGACGTAGAAGCGTCCGTGGAAACTTTTTTATTTGTGCTTTCTTTAGCTGAAAAATGTTGTACAGGGTGGAACTCGTAAAAGACTTTGACGATATTCGAGAGCGTATATGTACATAGTTGGAAGCTGTTTCTCATGGGCAACTATCGAGAACTTGTTCTAGACGCGACACGCTCGATTTCTTCGTACTTGCGCTTTAACTGCGCCATTCTTGATAACTTCAATCATCCTACTATACGTAACGACACTGTTCCGTTTCATTTCGCACATCCTGTAACCCCTACGAACGAAGGGATTATTTTGAAATTCCCGCCTCTTCGGAATACCTGTGATTTCCGAGAACTGGCCAGGATTCTACGAATATTGCGTAATTTCCAAAGACTGGGAACATTCCTGGAAACCACGAGACCACTTTTACACAGAACCCCTGCTGCATACCAACTTGTGCCTCCTTCCTTTTTCGACTCTTTGTACAAGTTTCTCAAACGTAATTCGAAGAAGGGAATCAGACCGCTTCTACCCTCCTTTTTTCCAGGAACCCTTTATTCCCAGATCTTCTTACCTTGTCTTTCTCGTTCTCCAACGAGAGACCCGCAAGGGTGAAAAAAGGGACTGGAGCGCGAAATGGTGGTGGTGGATCGCGGTCGCAATAATCAG